TGGTCGTGCTTTTTACAGTACTACGGCTTCCACAGATGAAATTTTTTTAATGTATTTATTGTCAAAGCATTTAATTTATTCATTGCTATCGGGATGTTAAGAGCATTCCATGGAATATAACAAAAAGTGTTTCTGAAATAAATTACATACCCCACCTTTAAGTGCTAATTTGCAAATATTGGAACGTTATACAATGATGTGACCAGAGTCAACTACACTTGCTCAGCATCAGCATTTTATCATTGTGATTAGTTTAAGAGAACCTTTGTGCCAAGTACAGCACTGTAAAGTTTCTCAATAAATTAATTATTCAATAACAAAGTCTGCCTGAATCATATATTGGATCTATTCTGCATTTATTCACAATCATATTACACTTAGCACAGTCATACATTATACAAACAGACAGCTATGGGCTGGGGTCAGGACATTTCTCTGTTGTAGATAAGGAATGTCCTCCCTAATAGGTGTGGATGTTACAACATTTTTTGGTATCAACATTAATCATTTACTAAATATTTTTCAGCTTATTAAAAGCTGTTTCTATAGGACTTTGTACATTAACCTCGATTACAGAATTTATGCGAAGAGGGTTGCATCACATGTCAACATTCAGGAAGTACTTGGTTGTCTGATAAGGTGCGGTCCCTTTAACACAATTTATCTATTTTTCACAGACAGACTTTTTACAATTCTTATCAGCATGGTTATAATTGTCATAAAAATAAACATAAGTTCCCATACTTCATTCCAACAAGGATTCATAAACGAAATATGATACAAACTTTACATGTTTCTGTGCTTAACTTGACTGTAAATATTGTATGACACTTTATACTTCACTACATGTTAAAACACTTTTACTGCACACCATTTTTCTGACAGCTATAGTAGTTACATTTACGATAAGGATTTGAAATATCCGATTAGTTTATTCAATATAGCGCTTTATTTAATAAGAAACTGCTCAACAGTTAATGACAACATTAATATTGAAACTCTTTTTACATGTTATGCATTACTAATATTATTCCAATAACCTATACATAACATAACACCCTGAATGGTGCCATTTTGTACTTTTACTTTGGATAATTTAAGTACATTTGCCGCCAACAGTTATGTACTTATGCACTTCAGACAGAGGATGTTGATAAATGTGTTGTGTATGGGTGGTGGTGAAGGATTTCCTATTGTATTTTCTGAGATTTAGATATGATCTGCAATAATGCACAAACTTTTCACAGACAGAATGAGGGTGGATTTCAATTGAGCAGCACAACTTGACAAATATCCTTTCAAGATTGTCCACTAGAGGTCACAAGCACAATATTATTACATGCCTGCAGGATGGATATGTCATGGTGGGGCTCAAACCTTTACCTTAACAGCAGAAGTCTGTTGGATTCACATTGAAAAGCTTTGTTGTGGGTGAGTTACTCTGTTGTTTATGCTATAGTGCTAATACAACTAAAACCTATTAAAATAATCTTCAGGACAACTCAGATCAAACTTCATGGGTTCTTTAAAATATGCATTAACCAAATAATCCAGTTCATTTAACCACATAGAGGGGGCATTAACATTAATCATTTTTCTTCCAATACGTCCTCCTTTATTTTCTCTACAACACGATACACATTAGCCTCTTCTTCCATAATATAAAAAAGAAAGAAAGAAGAGGATCAATTGTAAGATTGTTTTCACAGGTGTAATGGAAACCTCTGGAGCATGGAGTCGAAACACAATGAGACACGGGAGAGCTGGAACTCCATGGCAAACACTGAAGGTTTATTTGAAGTTACGGCCGGAGAATTGACAAAGACATTTGCTGTAGCTATGAAGTGACACAGCGTTTGGCCAACCAATTCTGAAGATCTCTCACCCAGTCCCATGAACTTAGCTGGTTCGGAGAGAAGAATCAACATTCTGCATAACAAGATAAAACAGGCAGGTCACTATAACACCTCTATCAGCTGACGCCAACAGCCAGGAATAAGGAGACAAAACACAGAGAGCACCCCAAGGTCGCAAGCCTGTGCTGGGCAGTAGAAACAAAGTTATGGGCCTAGGAAAATATGAGTAAATGCATTATAAGCCACGTTACTAGCACTAGAGAGATGCCAGTGAGTATCCTGCCCAGTCTCGAGTCCGGAGGAAAGCCAAGCTTTGCTGGTAACTGCCAACCAAAACCCACACACCTTTCTGATGGTAATGATCATCCTTTTACCCAAAGCCTTCATTTGTATACACACACACGTTAGAAAAAGCACTTGGCTGGCTGTATCATGACAAGGCTGCAGCTTTTCGCACCCAAACAGAAAATGTGTAACAGAGAAATGGAGGCTAGTCTTCACCGCAATCAGCTGCCAGGAATAGAATAATGATTACTGGGCTTTTATAGGAACCAAACAAATAAGCAAAGTTCCTGTATTGTACTCTTAAAGTTAAGACAATGTTCTTTTTACGTTTTTGTGAGATATTTGCATTAAAATGTATCACATCAATGTTCAACATTTTATATTTAAAATAAATAACTTCTTAAGTCCTTGAATTCCTTTACTCCCGCAAAATTGTTGCCCACATTTGCTGTTATTTAAACCTCCAAATACACTGCAAGAAATAGATTTCTGAACAGTCTAATTGATTTTATTCAATGTCCATTTAATGTTAATCTGCAAAAATCTTTGTTTATTTCCATTTTAAGTTGCTTTAAATTTGTAGGACAGAAAACAAATCGGAGCCTTAAATATTTGCAAAGGTATTTTATTGATGCTTCCTTGCCATTTTGTGTTCTTACTCACTATAAAATGAGCTTGTGAATTATGAATTCAAATCGCTTTTACGGTCTTTGTTTAACTGTTAAGCGAGTCTATATAGATACTTGACTAACTAAACTAACTGTTCTCCACAACCTATTGAAATCATAGAAGCAGGATCCCCATCTGCATGTATTATACTTGATCTGATTGGCTCACTTTGAGCAGAAGCACAACATCTCTCTCCCTCATCCATCAGTGACACACCAGCTCATTTTTACCCACTCTCAATCAATAACTCCTCCTCTGTGTTGGTAAATATAATGTGTTATTGGATTCTTCACCGTCCTAATTGGTTGTCACAGAGTGTGCTGTCCTCTCATTATCTCCCATACTATGGATTGTATATCCCTTTTGTGTGTTTGTTCTGCCTGACCGGAGCGTGCCTCCTAACACATCTCATATATTTCAATGCCTACTCTGCCGTAACGAGTTGGGGTCAAAACCCAAACACAACCTGTGACCAGTGGGCATCCAACCAAAGCGGCATCAGCTGCAATCACATACCCTAGGTTCAGGAAATGTGTGTATATTAAGACTGTATGCTTGTGTTGATCTGTGTAAGTGTGTTAATCATTCTTTATCCATGTATAAATCTGATTTGTACAGATTAACTCAATGTAAGCTACACACATGGACACCTTTGTTGAGTATTTCATTCACGTGCACTGTACATTTAATTGCGAGTAAGGCATAACTATGAATAACAATACATTTCATATAGGGTATTTTGCAAAGCATATTTTGAGTTTTAAATACAGATTCAATTTGAATGCAAATGTGGTGTTAATACAACTTAGAATAAATATAAGCAAACGTGAATCCAAAGACCTTTTAAACTTAGAAATGAGATAGAAAGCTCATGCCACTGTCTCTCCCCTCACACAATAGTCTTATCAAAGATCCAACTGTACTGTAAGTTGCTCTGCCATTTCAGCTTATGATTGAATCTGAATGCCAAGCTCCTTTTGAAAGCTTGGGTATCTTCCAAAAAATCTTTGCTGCAGCATGAACGTCTGCATTGTTACATCGTTTCCCACAGTTTGCAAAATTCACACAAGATAATCTGATGCTGGCCAGAATATCTGAACATTTTTTCTCAGCAGTACATTTCTCTTTCCATGTATTAGATGTGATGAAGATCTATTAGACATGTCACACTTTTCAAGTCATTCAGAATATTTGGTCTTATGCCAAGCATGTGAGAATCAGCTGATCTGGAAGGATTTCAGCCACTGCACTGGGTGTTACAAACCCTGAGTGCTGAGAGGTGAAAGTAAAGTGCAAAGTGAGAACCTAATCTTTGTTGAGAATGTGACCCTGCTTTAAACCACATGGGAGGGAGGTGAGGGGGGGGGGCTATAAATCCCTTTAAACAAAAGAGCACATTGCATAAACTTGCAAGTTCTTCTTGGCATGGTTTCTTTGCCCGCTGTAAGGAAAAAAAGGTTCACAAAAATGTAATCATGCTAAGCAGGTTAGTGCTAAGCCTCTGTTATTTAGATTTCAAACTTTCTTTAATATTTCAAGCTGAGATAACAAGAGAATGGCACACAAGATGATTTTAAAAGGATAATTGAAAATGTTAAAAGGATCATTTTGAGCCTTATATTGCTAGCTTTCTTTCTCTGCTCATTCTGATAATTTCAGATATCTACAAAGTTTAAACTGGAATAAAACATTGACATTGGGGAAAGGACAGTTATTAAGCATAGACATTGTGAGTAATACAGTTATTCACTTTCTTACAGTATTGCATGGAAATATTTAAACTGTGTCTGAATGGTGAATATGAAGCCACATGAAGGCCTGAAACAATGGGAAACAGCTAGCATGGCTTTGTCCGTAAAAAAACTCCTTCAACCAGCACCTCAAAAGCTCATACATTTATGCTATTAAGTCATATCTGACATGTTTCGGTTTTAATGCAGCTGCTGGTGTTAGCTTACATTTTTAGCATCTTGTAGCATGTTTGTACCAATCATCTCAGATAGAAAACATAATATGCATGTTTCCCACTATATATCTTTTCACTAAATTGAAATGTCACCGTCAAATACATTCACATAATCATCCATCCATCCATCTTCTACCGCTTATCCGATGTCTGGTCGTGGTGGTAGCAGTACCAGTAGAGGAAGCCACATAATAATTTGAAAACTTTATTATAGATGTGCAGAAAACAATATTACAAAACGTGATTTCCACATAATTGAATATGATTGCTGTAAATTAATGTTAATTAAATGCTGAACATGAAAAACAATTATACTGGAAAGATATTGATAAAGTATAAAACTCAGTTGTATCTGATCGACAGGAGCTAGCCTAGCCAGCTAAGATTTTCTTGGCCTATACTGTTGCGCCACATGGCTCATTGTTGTCTAAGGGATATTGCTGCTTTCCTCCTCTTCTTCAGGGTGAATTGTGCTTTTGCTCTCTCAATTGATAACTGAATTGGACTCATGACTGGAGTCCCTGAGATGGTCACGTGGCGTTTTTCAGATCTCAATAGGTTAAGCTCTTCGGTGGTGGCGACTTTTGATTGTGTGGTTGTAAAAGTCAGTGATGTTTGTTCAGTTTGGTTTGGGATAGAAACTCCATCATCAAAAGCAGCAGCTACTACTTTCTTTCGTGGTTTTCTCTGCTGCCTGATTCTCTGCCGGTGTCTGTTTGTAATGATAGAAGGGGCTGCTGTGATAATTGTGAAAAGCCGCCATTCACTCTGAGTTTCTGTGTGTTCTGCAGGCCTGTTAATTGCAGCAGTAGTTAGAGGGATGGCCGGTGCAGGTGGACTTTCACTTGAAAAAAATGGTGAAACAGTTTTCCTTCTTCTACTTCTCAGTCCTTTTGACTTCTGCCTTTTCAATACAGTAAAGGAGGATTTCAGAGCCGTAACTTGGACGATCGTCTTCCCTCCATAAACATCAATTGTCTGTGAAACCTGCCACTCTGTGGTGGGCAACGACGGTACCGTGGGAGCCCCGGTGAAAGGGATTACTTTCAGATTGTCCGTGGAGGAATTTTCATAGCCAGCGTCCACAAAGGGAGAAGCTAAGCTGACTTTCCTCCTTTTTTTCCTCCCCTCTCTGTCTCTTCTCTCCTTTGACCTGTTTCTTTTGACTTTGGGAATTTCAATGGGGGTACTGGTAGTGCTGACAACAAAGCTTTGTTGCTTTGGCTGTTCTGTCGGGGTTATGGTAATGATGGTGGGGATAGAAATGGTGACTGATAAGTTATCTGCTGTGTTCGCTACGAGCTCTTCAAAGGAAGGAAGAGTCTTTTTCTTGTTCTTCTTTCTCCTCCCTTTTCTGGGCCTTCTGGTTACTTCATGTGGAATAGCAGTGGTGGGTGTGGAAAGAGTATTTTCTTCTATGGACTCTGCTGGTTTCTTCTGGACCGGCGTAGGGGGCGTAATGGAAACTGTCTGCTTCTCCATTGCTGGCTCATCTTTCATGACTTCATTATAGGGCTCTTCTTTTCCTCCGAGCTTATATTCACTGTCACTGAGTCTGTTTCCAATTGACGGCTGCTGTTTGTGCGACTCACTAAGGAAGTTACTTAGAGCGATTACTTCTTCTGCTTTGCAACCAGAGGGAGAAACGGCAGCTCCTTCCTCTGCTTTCTGCTTTCTCTTCCTCCCCTTTCCTTTTCGCTTTTTGTTGGTTTTCTTCTTCTTCCCTATTTTCTTCCTCTTCTTCTTCTTCTCTGAGTTTTGAGTCTCGTCTTTATCTGGGTCGGTGGAGCTTTGAGAGGTGGAGACTGTAGCGAGGACCTTGATGAAGTCCTCAGCGGCGGTGACAACATTTGTAAGTGAAGGCTCTTCTGGACCTGAAATTGTAGACTGTGTTGTACTCTCCGGTTTCTCTTCTTCATCACTTTCCTTGGACTCTTTCTTCTTGGAAGGAGCGACCGTCAGCTTATCTATGACATCAATGCCGCCAAAGTCATATGGGACCGCCTCTTGCAGCACAGCAATCGGAAGCTTCTTGTAAAGTTTACACCTAAAGAAAGCAAACGAAAGGGAGGTTTGTATGTATGGTGATTTCAGAAAATAATACAGCTCAGTATGTTGCAAATCTACTTAAAAGTTTAACACCAGGGTGCAGTGATACTTACATGCCATACCAGTGTCGCTCTGCACACTGTTCCTCATAGGCCAACTCAAAGCAAGGCACACCAATGACGTTGAAGAACGCCTGGCCAACCACCCTGGAAGATGTGTCGTTGACGTTCCTCAGGCAAGCTTTTAACCTGAAAGGACAACAAGAATGCAGTCTCATATCTAGTTTTCCCTTTCAGGAGATGGCAGTGCAATATGAGAAATTGAGTAACTACAATAAAATGTAAGCATGAGTTTGATTCAGAGCTGCAATTCCACCCCTGGAGATTCTCCTGGGATACAATACATTTGATATACGTCTACTACCAAGTTGTTTCAAATGTTATTTAAAGGTGGGGTAGGTAAGTTTGAGAAACCGGCTCGAGATACACTTTTTGTTATATTCCATGGAATGCTCTTAACATCCCGATAGCAATGAATATCTTAAATGCTTTGACAAAAATCCATAAAAAAATGTCATCTGTGGAAGCCGTAGTACTGTAAAAAGCACGACCAATCATTTTAGCTGGCCCGGCTAAAATAACTGGATGGCCTACCTGCCTGTCAGCCTTCCATCTGTGCACAAACTTATCTCGTGCCCTCATTGGTCATGTGCGCGTTCGTGTGTGTTGGAGGAGGGGCTCTGTAAGGAAGTGGGAGATTTTTTCCGGCTGTGTATTTTCAAATTCTAGCACACTCAAGCTGGTTTCTCCAAAATTACCTACCCCACCTTTAAAATGTGTGTATGGATTTAACCAATGAACATGTTTTTAGGTGGCAAATCAGGCATTCTTATCAGATGTTCATTGCACCATTGTCCTTTGTTCTAACCAATTGCCACACTTTCCTAACTTCTTAAGATTTGTTTTTCAAAAATGAAGTTTCCTGCCAATGAAACCTTGGCAAAGAACTGTTACATTAAAATCTCTATTAGATAACTCATAGATCATCATTTCTTGGAATTGTTTAATGGTGAGTAAAATTTGGCTACTAACTTTGTCAAAATTATGAAAAAATTGCAACTTGTAACAGCTTATATGAATTGACTATTTCAGCCTGAAGTTCGCTGTGTTCATTCTCACAAGTTTTGAAAAATTTTCTTGAAACCTTTTATGCTGATTTTTTAAAAGTCCTGATGCAATACTTTTATGAAAATTATTTTCCAAATGCTTTCATACTTTGTATAGATGGACAACATTTTGCCTAAACACATAATCGTCAAACTTTGAATTGAGATGAACGCAAGAAGACATTTAAACACATAAAGGTGAAAGCTATATATTTTACTCACGCATTATCACAGTCACAATGACAGATGGAGTGCCACTTGAAGTTAGTGTGCCCATAGTTGGCGGAGAAGGAGTGGATCACGTGAGGGCAGTGGTCATGGATACGGCAGCAGCTGTCAGTCTCTGCAAAATCTCCTGCAACAAGGAGGTCAGAATTATTGTAATTATTACACACTCATATTAAGTTGATTAACTCAAAGATATTGATAGCATATAACCCACCGAGCTGGTCATAATTATCAGCCATATTTCCAGCTCCACACCACAGGGTCCCAGGATAGGTGAAGCCTCTCTTAGACCTTTTTAAAACCTGGTCCTGCAGAGCAGAGTCATCACCCCTCTCCCTGCCGCTGCGCTTCGACCTCTCCTTAAACTCCCGGCACATAAGTTTGGCTTCATTCATGCGCGCAAAACGCGTCTCCAGCTGCTGTCCGGCTCTCTGCTCTTTCTGTCCCAACCTGCACTCATGCATGAACGACTTCACCTGCATCTGGTTCACAGTGACGGAGCAGTTCACAAGTTTCCCGGCGGGGCTGACGAAGGAGCGCACGACCTCGGCTCCGTCTGACACCTGGTACAGGAAGTTCTCCCTCACGGTTGACATTTTTGCGCAGAAGGTGCCGTTGAGCATGGAGAACATTTCTTTGCTCTCCCTTTCTGCGTCCAAAGCGCGGCTCAGGAAGTCGCCCTTGACGAAGTTTCTGTCCAGATAAGACAGAAAGACAAAGAAGACCGACCACATAATGAGGCGAGCGGCACTTTCAGCACCACGCGTAACGGAGACAGCTCCTCGCGGTTTTTCGGCACTCTCGAGCAGCCCTCCCACTTTTAAGGCGAAGCTAAAGTGGTGTGATTATGAATACGATAAATTACAACGCTGGGAGGAGTCAACCGAATTAACCTCTTTCGAGCCTGTGGTAGAATATATGTATCTATTACACAGTCGCAGAGCGTGGACCAGTGTGTTAAACTACTGAATGAAAACGTGCAGAAGAAGAGAGGGTTAATTTGTGAACCTCAAGCACCTTTCACTACACTGAGCGACGACCGCAAGTTACCTCCCAACCCCCCTCAGCCCAACCCCCCAGAAAGTGGAGATTTACTTTGCATGGAGGAGGGTTCTAGTTTGCCCCCTTTCCATGGTAACAGGCATGGGGTGATTGTGCCAACCCAGGATACTGGACATCTTTCAAATGCCTGAAAACAGGCAGTGAATTGGTGATGACCTAAATCACAATGTGTGGACAGAACTCTTCATTGTGGAATGTGGAGAAAGGTTGGGGCTCTCGCACGCAATCCACCACACTGACTGAAGGGCCTCAGTAGCCCACAACCACAAGAGTCACTGCTGATGGTTGGACTAAACAAAACTCGTTAAATTAATGCAGGCATGATTTAACTGTGTGATGTATCTATCAGCAGAATGAGTCAAAACGTAGTGCTTCATGGTCTCTTGGTGCTTTTTTAACCCTATTATTTATTTGATTATTTGATTTCATCACATTGAAATGAGATAATCCCGTATTTTTTCCATTAAAGTCTTGCTTCTCGGTCTCTCTTTAATAACATTGTTAAAAACAATATTTCAAATGAGCTTATTTCTAAAGAAGAACAGTTATTGATATTAAACAAACGCATTAACCTTTATTATACTGCCTAAATCGACTGTAGTTTATCTACAACCTAAGGTATTTAGTTGTTCATCTGCAGCTGGTCATATCTGATGCTGAATTCAAGAGAACCGATTTTGTTTGCTGTTTTAACATGTATATGCAGCTTTCCAGATCTGGCCCATTTTATTTGAAGACATTATGTGCCTGATAAAAGCATTCATTTATTTAATCATTAATAATAATAATAATAATAATAACTTGAATTGATATAGCGCCTTTCATAACCTCAAGGTCGCTTTACAAAGAAACATACAAGGACAAGACATAAAACATAAAAAACATAAACATAAAACAGGGGGCAGAAATGTAAGTGTAAGTGGGGGGGGGGGGGGGTGAGTTATTGTTGGAAGGCGATGTTTAATGTATGACTTGTGCATTTTTGGTACAGTTTATTTAATCATAGAAACATGTTCATTTATGAATGGTTTTGACTCTCATATTTGACTAACATAAGAGTTATTTTGGACAAATTATGCATAACACTTGTGAGTAAAGAAAATGATGCACACAGCAAATTCCTCTGCTTCTGGGAACAAGTGACTGTTCCCAAACGAGTAAAAGAAAGAAAAGGCTCTTGTCAGGTTGGGTTTCTAATCAGCCCAGTGTTGTGTCACATGGCTGGTCTTACAAGGAGCTCTAGAGGCGGAGACACAGCCTACTCAAGGCAGTGAAATCGGATTGTTGGAAGGCGGAGAGAAATGATGTAAAATCACCAGAGGCAACATTCGACCAAATCTTGAAGGAAAAAAAAAGCTTTCTCATGAAAGTGGTCACTGCAGGAGGGATTTAGGGCAAGAAAAATGAGGCTGTTAATCCTACTGGAAAAGATTTGGAGTTCGTGTTGAGCACGCAGTGAAACAGAAAGCTGACACTTGATAAAACATTCATTGTATTGATTAAGACACGCCAGCTGCAGAACAACGCCTACAACATGCTATAGTTTGGGCTCAGCACACCCCACTGATGGGAGAGAGAGTTTACTGGGGCAACAATATTCCTGCAAAGTTGAGATTGAATGTTACCTCGTGAATAAAAATGCTATATGTGTAGAGCTGTAAAATATAAAAGTAAATACATTTATTAAAATGTTTTAAATAATAGTACTTTAATGTAGTTTGCCCACCTGTTGGCAACAGCAACAGTGTGGATTATTGGCAGTTTACTGATTTAGAAATTAATATAATTCTGTATCAATGCATGCATTAAATAACTTCTTGGTTGCTATTGTTAGGCTGGGTATAATCATGTAAAACATGTGCTTTAATTTGCTCCAGAGCTTGCAATCTAAAGTTTCTTGAGTATTGGTAAACAGCATTAACCATGCCCAAAACTAATGTTCTACCCTGGTTCTACCTTTTGCCATGCTGCAATCTGATTGGCTGAGTTGGCCAAGTAGCCTACTGTTGGCAGCAACACTGGTGGTTACTGGGACTGGTGATTATCTCACACCAAATCATTTGAATGTCTGTTTTGGACAAATAACGTTAGCAGCTAGTTGGTGAACATTTACGAGCATTGAGCAACAACAACTGAGCTGAAAGAGAGTAAATATTGGACTTGCATTCACAAACATGACTCCAAATAAATATTAATATTGCAGGTTCCTCAAATCAACTTAAAAGTTTAAAGTAGACTGTGTGTTGTGTTTACAGATTATTTTTGCTGCCTCCAGCTGCATTGATTCATACAGCACCATCAGTCAGACATGTAATTATGTTAATATTTGATCAGATGTATTACCTTTACCTTATTACCTAGAAAGCATGTAAGCAGCCCAGTGTTACATCTACAGTAAGTTCATTTGGTTCACGATGAACCTTGGGAAAGTATTCACTGTTGACAGAAAGGTGAGGTTGAGTCTTTAGCTCAGCTTGAACTCTGTTGTACAAAACTGGGATGAAATTTCATATCAGTTTGTTTAATAATGGCAATAACCTTTCCAGTTTGAGACCAGGGTTATAAACTGTGATCCAGTGAGGTGATGGATTTTGTTGCTCGAGACTACGTTTATTTAGACACCGGCCCTCTGGTGAGTCTGGACACCTGATGCAGCTCTGAGCAACATTCAGAATAACAACGAGCCATTCATGAAGATGGAAATGACCATGTTCAGAGGGTCATTAATTGTTGATATCAAATTGTATTAAGTCATATTAGTTTGTGTTTGTTTTGGTGCCCCATATGGACTTTAAAAAAAAAAGTGACACATTCTACATTAATCACCTGAACATTTTTGATAGGAATCCAAATGTTTGGGAGGGGGTATTTTTATTTATAAAAGAACTGCCAACAAAAATAACCCGTTTGAAAAGCTTTTGTATTCAACAATGATGTACAGCAGGGGTCTCTGAAACCCCACAAAAGTAATTTTGCCATTCTGTGGCAGAACTTTAAAAAATGACATCAGTTCCTATTTGTAACCAGTTCTCACACAATTAAGAATATGAGCTGTAGCTGCTTCTAAATGTACAACACTCTGTAATACATATGCAACACTGACCCCTTTTGTAAGGTGCCTGTATTTTTTATATTACCTATACAGTAGCTTTGAATTATAGACACATTTATCTTATCAATTCACTGTAGTAGCAATAGTAAGAAGTATGCATTTGGTCAGATTATTAACACAAAAATGTGTTTTGATTTATCTCCAATTTACTAAAAATCTGTGTCAAAATTGTTAGATGCATGCCAACATGCACAGATGGCAAAAGTACACACATCCTTTAGAATAATAATAATTTGGGGAGCAGTCTAGATTGTAAAACAGATTGAGTTCCTATTTTAGTAAAGATGAATAACAAAAGTGAAATCAATGTGAAAAAAATATAGATTACTGTCAGACAGAAAATATACACTTAACCAGGACACACATATACAGTATCGAGCTAAGTTACAGCTATTTCCTTCGGCAATGGTTGACATCAAATCATTAGTTGTTACTTCAGGGCAAAAAGAGTAACCAAGTTCAACTTTGGCAGCCCTCTCCCACCCACCACTCACCCCACTGGAACCTGAGATGGGTCTCTCTCTCATTCACAGTCCACTTCATGCACCCCAGTTTCTCCCTCTCACAGCACAGGCCTGAAGTATTTATTCTTCCAATGGATGTGTTGGCTGCTCCTGCAGACAGACATAAAGGATGGTACCTTCCTCTGATGGCTCCCAACACAAAAGGACCAACGTTTTCCTGGCTGGACCCGTCCAGACTCTACTGTATCTCCCAGGTATGATGAAGGGATGATTTCTGGTGACTTGCCACTGTCTCCCGCTGGGTTTGAACACAGCAGAAACCCATTTAAAATAGGAAGATAAAATGAGGGGTTACGTATGGTAACCCTTGTTATTGAAGAAGAAGATTCAACTTATTGTCATTACGTAGTACAGGTACTATGTAACGAAACGGTTTCTCTGCATTTGACCCATCCTAGTGTTAGGAGCAGTGGGCTGCCATTATGTACGGCGCCCGGGGAGCATTGTAGGGAACGGTGCCTTGCTCATGGACACCTCGGTAGCACTTGGTCTTTCCGGGACTTGAACTGGTGACCTTCCAGTTGCCAAGCCAAGTCCCTATGGACTTCGCCACCACCGCCCTATATAAGCACAGGCGGAGCCCTCTACTGGACGCCTTGATCATATCATGCAAGCATTTATCTACTGAGACTTCTATAAACGTAGCCGGCCCCGGGGCGGGCCTACCTGAATGCGCGTGCATTTCACCGTATTAAAGGAGGCCTCGCCTCCTGACTGTCATCCTACACCTCTCTTCAGCAAGCGGCATAGGACCGACAGGGCCCCGAGTAGAGGGCTCCGCCTGTGCTTATATAACAAGGGTTACCATACGTAACCCCTCGTTATATCTCTCACAGCCCCGATGTATACACGCGCTGTCGTCCAACAACACCGTTCCACCCCACTGCCCCTGACCGGCTGGTTAGCAGCTGCTGCACCGCACCTGCTGCACCGCACCCTCCTTTACCTCGGTTGTGACCGTGGAGAAGTCTTGCCCCAGCAAGCACAGACGATGAGAAAGAGCCAGACATGTCCAAGAGATAAAACTTTATGAAGGGGCCTGGCGTTGACCAAGACGCCACCGTGCATATGTCCTCTACACTCACGCCGTTGAATAAGGCTGTTGACACAGCCACAGCCTGTGTAGAGTGTGCACGGACCCCTGCGGGGCAGGCTCTCCCCGCCTGTCCGTAGGCATGTGCAATGCACTCCCAGAGCCATCCTGCCAGGCGTTTCTTGGACAGAGCTTTCCCGGTCACCCCGCCCCCAAAGCACACAAACAGCTGTTCAGTGCGTCTAAAGGCAGCTGTGTGCTCCACATAACATGCTAGCGCATGCACCGGGCAGAGGAGGTGCAGTTTAGCTTCCCTGGCCCCACTATGGGGTGAAAGACTAAAGCCCCCTAACTGAATAGCCCTCGACCTGAACGCACTCCTTCGGCTCTTGGGCACAAAGGAGGGGTTCGGCCTGAGTGTCGCCCCGCTCTGGTCACCCCGGATCAACAAGCAACTTGGGTGCACCGATAGAGCGGTTAACTCGGACACTTTCTTGGCTGACGTTAAGGCAAGTAGCAATGCTGTCTTCCACGACAGTGCTTTCAGGGAGGAGAGCTCCAGTGGCTCAAATGGTTCTGTGACCAAAGCCTCGAGCACCAACGGCAGGTCCCACTGTGGGGCGGAGGCGTGCACTACTGGGCGCAGCCTCCTGACCCCCTGCAAAAACCGCAACATCAGTGGCTGACTAAAGGCTGACCTGCCGCCAAATCCCTCATGGCAGGATGAGATGGCTGCTGCATACACTTTCACTGTGGAATGAGCAAGCCCTCTGTCCACCAGTATCTGTAAGTAGGACAAAATAGAGCCCAACTCACAAGATAGGGGCTCTATTCTCCGCTCCTCACACCATCGCTGGAATCCCAGCCACTTTGGCCTGTAACAGGTTGTGGTGGATCCATCTCTAGCTGCCTGGATAGACTGAATAACACTGTCAGATAATCCACCCTGTCTCAGCCTGTCCCTCTCAGGAGCCAAGCCTGGAGAGGTTGGCCCAGAGTGGGTAACTCCCCGATTGCACCTGCCTCTTGAGACATCACCCCCCAGAACTGAGGAATCGCCCAGGGCTGGCCCACCTTCATCTGTGTCATCTCTGAGAACCACGGCGCCCCGACGCGATCCGGAGCCACTAGGATGACTGACAGACGTTCTCGCCTCACTCTCCCCAGCAGAGGGAGAATGAGACGCAGCGGTAGAAAGGCGTAGAGCAGCCTTCTTGGCCATGGCTCGTGTACGAACGCGTCCACCCCCAAGGGCGGATCGTCGCTCTGAGCCATGGAGAACCACAGAGCACAGTGGCTGTTGCGCTGGCTGGCGAACAGGTCCGCCTCTGCTCTCCCGAACTGGGCCCAGACCTGCTTCACCACCTCCGGGTGAAGCACCCACTCGCCTGGCAGGGGGCCGCCCCTCGACATGAGGTCGGCCCCCCTGTTCTCCAGTCCCGGGATGTGGAGGGCTCTCAGAGACAACACCACCTCTGAAGCCCATAACCACAGTTTCTCCGCTGTGGTCAACAAGGCGGCGGAGCGGACTACGCCCTGCCTGTTGATGTATGCCACTGTGGTGCTGTTGTCGCTCCTGACCATTACATGTCTCCCCTGAATTAAGGGTTTGAAATGCTGGAGGACTAACACTACTGCCCGTAGCTCTAGGAGGTTGCTGTGCCGTGTTACTGTTTTAGACCAGCGCCCACCTATAGCTGTTTTAGCAGATCCCTCCTCATCCTGTTATGGATGCGTCCGTGAACACTGTGATGTAGGAGGTCACCCGTCCCAGTGGAGACCCCCTCCGGAGGTGATCCGGGGACCCCAGAACCGGAGGTTGCCCTCCACTGAGGCGGGGATGGTCACCAGACGTCGTTTGTGCCTCTTGGGATCTAAACGCAGGCTGGAGAACCACCTCTGCAGGCGGCGCATATGCAGTAACCCGAGCGGGACCACAACGTGAGCAGCCGCCATGAGACCCAGAGTCTGCATGATAGTCAAAGCTGTCACTGTTGCCCCCTGTCGCAGTCTGCGAACTGCCCGAAGCAGGGACGCGCGTCTGCTCTCTGACAGGGTGGCGCGTAGCCCGCCTGCATCGAGCACCACTCCCAAATACAGCGCCTGTTGGTGAGGTATGGGGGTGCTCTTTTTCCAATTGATCGCAAAGCCCAACTTGGTTAGGTGTAGGATCAATTGGGCTGTGCAAAACATTTCCCATTCCCTGGACCTGGCCATGACTATGAGGTTGTCCAGATAAAAGAAAACTCTCATGCCATGGGCGCGCGGCGGCTGGAGCGCTGGGGCCACACATTTGCTGAACGCGCGTGGGGATAGGGAGTAGCCGAACGGTAATCTGTTGTACTCGTAGGCTATCTCCTGGAAGGCAAAACGCAGATACTTTCTGTGCTCTGGAGCAATTTCTGCATGAAAGTACGCGTCTTTCAGGTCGATGGTGGTGAACCAATCGCCCGGCTGCACTAGCCCCAGTAACTGTTTTATAGTTAACATGCGGAATTTTCTGCAGGAAATGTGCCGATTCAGGCTGCGGAGATCTAGAATAGGTCTGAATTCCCCTGTCTTCTTGGGAACCAGGAAGTACATGGAATAAAGACCCCTTTCTCTGTGCTGATGGTGCACGACAGACACCGCCTGTGTCAGCGTCCTGTCCATCCCCTTTGTTAACACACAACTGAGTTTCCATTCCCCATAACATTGTGTTAGGGGACAAGCCGTCAGCTGCGGGGCCCCAGCTATAAAGCTGTCGTAAAAAATGTTTGACCTTTGCATCACACAGGGAGGAGGCGGGATTCGCCCTTGCGTCCCGGGTGGAGAGATTCTCTCCCTCCGCCGAGACGCTTCCTCCCCCCGCCAGTCAGCTCCGCGATGACGGAGCACCCCACCCTGCCGCTCTCTGCTGCTGCGGAGCCTGCCGCCGGATGCACCGGGCCGTAAAACCCCTGTCGAAGGCGGCTTACTGGCCTCGGTGGCAGCGGTGGGGGGAGCGGTAGGCCCACACGCTCCGCCGCCATGGTCATCACCACCAGGAAGTCCAGACGCGCAGACCTGTGTGCTGGACCCTCCTGGCCGCCGGACCCGAAAGTACCAGACAACAAGGCGTCCTTGTAGGTGCCATAATGCTACTTAGCCCAAGTTCATTATTTGTATTATTATTTGTTTACGTCACTTTTATTTGTTTGTTGAGCACTTCCGGTAATTGTCACATGGGTGTGGTTTGTCTATTTAAGTCACCTGTTTCATGTCAAGTGCGGATGACAGAGGGTGAGCTTGTGCTGTCATTTTTTCTGTTGACCGTTTTGTCCATGTTATGATTTTGTTTATTAAATATCCCAAAAACTATCTTGCTTCACTATGGACTTTCTCTTCGAAAACGCGTCATAGTTTATAGCCAAGTTTAGCCTCTCGGCGACTCAAACGCAACTGGGGATTGAGCCGCCACATTAAGTCAACAGAAAAAACGGTGATTCGCATCAGAGACTGAACTGGACGGACCGGCCGGCTTCCTAAGCTTACGGATCGCTTGGACGCTTCGGATAACGGACTTAACATTCTGTACCTTTGGAACCTTCGGACCGTTTTTCCCTAATCGATATGGATTGGAGTAGCCACGAGGACTCACTGATGGACACTCATTGACTGCAGCGCACAACAAGCTGAAAGCGGTAGGCACGATTATATCCTTTCTTGTGTATTTTTGCTGGACACAGTTTGGGAAGCGTGACCGTTTGTCCATTGGGGACTTTGGCTTTTGTTGTGCGCTTGTTATGCCGTGAGCGGCGGAAGTTTTCGAATTGTTTGTTTTGCTGTGGCGGGTGGGCCCCGCTGGTTTAAGTTTCATACCAGTGAACACTGTCGTGTTACTTTAAATGCTAAGGCACCACACATATTGCATCAAATATGAGTGACACAAACGATGGAATGGAAAAAAGGACTGTCAAGCTTACTAGTAAAGCCTTGGCTTGCAAAATCGAACAACTGCAAAAAGAATGTCAGTCAAACGTGCAGAAGATTAAAGGACGCACACAGGAAATCAAACATCTAATGAAAAATGATGAAAATGCAAAGGATGTTAAACTCAAACTGGACAAATTAATTCATCAATATGAAAATGCAAAAACAGCACATGAATCAGTTATTATGTTGCTTTCCGAAGACGACCTG